GGGAGGTAACTCAAGCTCCACAAGGGAGAAAAAATAATAATAATGATGTCCTCCGACTCAAGGGAGGCATTCAAGTTATAATCCCGGTGTCATGGGGGACCTTGCAAACCCTCACGTTCCGATGATTGCGCGCAAGTGGTACGAGCACTCTGGCCCATCAGTAAGAAAGATAAGATAAGATAATAAGATTCTGATAAGACATCATAATTAAGCATAATTGGCTCATGCATATTTATTCATGTGAACTTACAGTTATTTTGCAAGAGATAGTTCCTACTTGCTAAGTGAAAGCTCATTATAGAATGTTTATACTGTAGGTAAGCAACAGGCATATATAATGCCTGATGGACTGCTGGCGAGTGGACGAACGATGTGGGGCTCGGGATATGGATACCACTCGCAAATATTTCCGCAATCAGCTTTATGTTACAAATAGTTTTGTTAATTATGATTATGAAACAGATATGTTAAGGTTTGAATATTTTAATTAAGAAAGCAATTTCGTATTTTATGTTTATAATAAGACCTTTAAAAAAAAAAAAAACGTTCCGTAAATTTTAAGAAATTTCAGTAAGTACAAATTAAAAAGTTAGTTACAGTGGCGGCCTCAAAAGAGGGTCGCTACAATTAGACAAACACACACACACACATATATATACATGTTCAAATGTATATTCATGTGCAGACATGCTACTCTTTGCACAACTTACCCAATCCGCAGGATCTATATTTAAGGCCCTCAAGCCATCCTCATCAACTACAACTCCAGAGGCTCCAGCATTGTTAACCTGCGGACATGAAACAATTCACTCAGTCTAACCTACCCACAGATGATGTACTAATTTTAACATCAAAATCACCCTTAATACGAGTAGATGCACTATAATCGATAATTTCACGGCAGAAAATGAGAAGATTTCATTGGCACGTAGCGTAGAGGTGTGATGAAAGGGGTGTGTTTTTATTTAATGTAACTCAATGTAAAATCATAATTTCCAATAATGCAATTCACACATAACATGCTTTTTCTTTATTTTCATTGGTGAACAGGATTTTTACAAACACAAACCACATTGCAAATTACCATAACTCTTACTATCTTAGTGCAGATGACCCCATTTCTAGATTTTCTTTCCAACCAAAATAACCAACCAGGTCGTGTACAAGCACATAGAGGGAAGTCCATAACAGGAAGCATCAATCCAAAAACATAAAACTAATCAATTTACCAAGATATCAAGCCTTCCAAATTTTTCCTTGATAAAGTCAGCCAGAGCTTCGACACTGAGAGGGTCCGATACGTCGAGTTGATGGAAAACGACGCGGTCGGCGGGGAGACCTAACTGATCATGTAGCAATGATGTGGCGGCCCTTCCTCTCTTTTCATCTCTAGCAGTTAAGATCACAGTCACGCCCTTGGAGCTCAGCTGTCTCGCTGTCTCAAAGCCTATCCCCTTGTTTGCCCCTGTAACCACTGCATACCTGTGCATACTAAACTATAAGTGTCTCTGCAAACCTGGATTTCTTACACTTAAATAACAATAAACAACAACAACAACAACAACAATAAACTTCAAAATACAGACTCATTGGTATGAAAATTTGCAGAGTATTCGATAGGCATGCTAAAGAAGCATGCTGCAAAATTTCACTTCATATGAAGGCTATCTGAGTAGGTTCAGCAAAATTTCCAGCAGCAGACCTAATTTTGTAAAATTCATTAAAAATTCATCTTTCAACCTTTTTCAATAATATTTTTTACCATAGCAAGCTTAACATTTCTAAATTCAATGCCCAAAAGTTCAGCTCCAAACAATAAGTATTCTTAGAGATATTGTGCTCGCAATCAGAGGTGTTCAGACAGTCATAACCAAAACAAGAGACACATTTACACTCAATTTAACATTAACCTACCCTAACCAACCAAAACCATGCTTATCTACAAAGAATTCATCTCTAACGAGCCCATAAGCGGATAACCCATTAAAACCTCATCAGGAAGCATTAAAATACTCTTCTAATTCAAGATTAGTAATTGAGCTTTTTTTTTTTTTTTTTTTTTTTTTTTTTGGTGGTGCAGCCCTACAAGAAGATCCATTCATTTATCCAGGCTAAGTTCCGCTATATAGATGTGGGGCTCCAATGGGAGCCAGCTTTGCAATAGATGCAATGGGCCTCACGGATGTGGTTCCTAACATGGAGAACCAGTATCTCTTCCCAGAGACAAATTACTCTTAATAATGCATGAATCTAAACTTTTACTTTTTATTCTTAATAAATATCATTTTATTAGTGTAATTATTGACTAAAAAAGTTATAAATTAAGAATAAATGATAAAAATTTTGATCTATACACTTTTAAAAGATATTTGTCAAGATAATCTGCTAGAATTGCTCTCGGTTCTAGATTTCTCCTACTTAAAAGACCATCAATCTAAATCATGAGATAATAAGATCTGCTTGTTTATCCAAGCTAGGATCTGCACAAAGGAAAATTAAAAGTAAAACTGTGGGACTCCACACAGAACCATATCTTCTAGAGTTAATAATGGTTTCACAGAGGTGTTCCTAACATTAAAAATCACTTCTGAATCACCGCACTTTTAGAATGAACTTAAGTTGGAATAAAAGAGCTTGTATTAGCAAACCATATTAATATTGGAATCAGATAATAAGATATGTTATCTCTCCATGTTGTGTAATGGAAATAGTGAAGTGAATGAATGTTGTGATACCTTTCAGCAAACTGCTTTCCGTTGCTTGCCATTTTGCAGCGAAGTTGACTTTGATTGGGCGTGATGTTGACGAGAGTAATCCTTGCAGTATTATATTTTTCTGTGCTCGGCCAGTTCAAGTGCTTGAACAGACTGGCTTTAGTTTTAATAAAGGTTTGGCAGAAGGCGCGATTCACACTCATGATATTGTCTTGATTTTCTTTGTGTAATATATTCTGTCTTAGGGCCACGATAACGACAGCTTTCTTTTTATATACAGGGACGAGGAGAAAAGTAATATAATTAATAAAGTGATTAATAAATTATAAAATATTTTTAAAAAAATAATAAATTATAACATAATTTAATATTTTAAATTTTAAATATTATTAAAATTTTAAAAAAAAATTTTAATTTTTTTTTCCACTTCATTCTTCCTCTATAAACAGTTAAATAGTTAATTATAGCATATCTTTAAAAATATGTTAGATTATAGTCGGGTTCGGGGACCGGCGACCAGTAGCCAACTTTGGCGATCAACTCCGGCAACCAGCGACCGTTTTTTGGCGATTGTTGATTATTTTTCGGTGATTATTTTTTAATGACCGTTTAACACTGTATTTAACAGTAAATACCATATTTACTAATAAATATCATATATATTCAAAAATTTCAGTACCAACTCTTGTGGCCGTTTAACACTTTATTTACTAGTAAATATTGTATTTATGAATAAATACTGTAATTACTCATAAATATCATATTTATCTGAAAATTCAGGCACCAAATCTTACGACCATTTAACACTGTATTTATCAGTAAATATTGTATTTACAATTAATACTGTATTTATTATTAAATACCATACTTATTCAAAAATCTAAACACTGACTCCGGCGACCGTTTAACGTTGTATTTATAGGTAAATGCCATATTTATCAATAAATATAGTATTTACTGGTAAATATCATATTTGCCTGAAAATCCGGCCACCGACGCTGGTGAATGTTTAACACGGAATTTACCGGTAAATACCGTATTTACTAATAAATATTATATTTATCTGAAAATTTAAGCACTGACTCCAACGACCGTTTAACACAGTAATTACTAATAAATATCATATTTATCTAAAAATTTGAATATTGAATTCGATGATTTTTTAACATTGTATTTACCGATAAATATCGTATTTATCAATAAATATCGTATTCACTAGTAAATATCATATTGATCGGGTTTTTTTCCGTCGTTCTCATTTTTTATGGTACTTGTACTCATGTGTTACTTTATTGCTCTTTTGTTTGCCATTATATTCTATCGATATTCAATCACTATAATGCAATTCAGTTGTCATGTTTTTTCCATTTAATTTTTTATTTATTATTTTTTTTAAGTTGCTTTTTTAATTGTTTATTTTTAATTTTTCTGTTTCCTTATGTAATTTGGATGCTTTTTAACAGGATGACGTCCCTACGCAATATAATAATATTTCTTCAGATTACTGAATAGACTACACAGTTTGTGCATCTTCCAGTCGATATCTATTCCCAGATAATGAAATCCTCTATTGAACTTAAAAAAAAAATACACTCCATGCTCAAAGCTTAAAACATAATAATAAAGAAAGATAAATAAATGATAATATTAAAGTAATAAATTAATTTATGTTGGATATTTAGTTAGAAGGGGGTTGAAGAATAAAGAGAGGGTGTTGAGAGTACAGAGAGAGATGGAAATAGAACCTTTCTTTGAGAATTTTATGAAGTAGTTAGGGATAATTTTAGAATAATAGAGATATGTAAAAAGTGAATTTAGGGCCCGTTTAGTTCGCTGATTCGAGTTTTTAATTCGAGTTGAGATGTGATTTTATGTGAATACTTTTCTCTGTAACAAAAAAATTAGATGTTACTGTTTCTGAGAGCTTTTTACTGTAACAAAACTCTAATTCTAAACTCGAATCAGCGAAATGAACAGGGCCTAAGTCATTTGAAAATGGAGAGTTCCTCCGGTAGGTCTTTCTATTTATAGGATTTGATATCTGACTGTTGGATCTGGTCAAAATCATATCAGAATGAAAAAGTATACAAAATAAATAATTTCTGATATAAATCTGATAACTGAAAAATAAAAAATTACCAATAATGTATTATTTTTAGTCTTACCAGAGAAAATCTCTTGAAAATAATTGGGGTGTGATGTGTGAATAGAATGATCTGTACGAAAATAATTTTTTTTCTCTCAGTTTGTGTGAAGAAGGTGACTTTTCTGTTTCAACGTGAAGAAAAAATGGGGACAAAATCGGAAATTAAGAAAATTTTGTGAGAATCGGTTAATACACGGGACTTGTAAAACCTTGTTATGCAGCACAATTTTCCTTATCGATAGTTTAATAAGCACTTTAATAGAATTTATACAATTCAGTTTCCTTAGAACTGAAATTCCGCTGTTTAGTAAGTACTATTTTATAATTTATTGGAAAAAAAAAAAAAAAAAAAAAAAGAAGAAACCATTTGTGTGCCTGTAATCTGTAAGCTTGAGACGACCTGTAGAGGTTAGAAGAAAGGTTCAATTTGGGAAAAAATGGAAGGCTAAGGTTTACCAAACTTCCATTAAATATTATTGGCTTATAATTACTGTTTTGTGTCTTGAGTTAAGTTTTGGAGATTTAATATAAGTATAATTAAGCAAATAATTTATTGAAGGGATCATCTAGATTCTAACTATTTTAATAGTAAATTTATCGTACAACTAATAATTTACTTATTTATATAAAAAATTAAGCAAATTATTTTTTTAAGGTATATATTCTTGAGAGTAGAGACATGCCAGGGTAGACATTATTGGTCTCTTCAAAGACAGTCTATAAAAAAAAACCTATAATAAAATTGGAAGATAATTAGCTTTTAGACCACTTGTAAAGGCAGAAAGGAAAAGTTTTAGTGGGAAACATATGGAAGGATGATGTTCACAGACTTTAAATATTGGCTTATAACTATTATTGTCTCTTAATTAATTTAGATCCCGTTTAGTTCGTTGATTTAAATTTTTAATTTGAGTTGAGATGTGATTTTATATGAGAATTTTTTTACTGTAATAAAAAAGATAGATATGACTATTTCTTATAGCTTTTTACTGTAACAAAACTCGAATTCTAAACTCGAATCGATGCAATGAGCTATGCCTTAGGGATGTATGTTTTAAAAAGAATCTCTTCTTAATTGTACAAGTTTTTGTTAAACAATGTGCTTTTTTTTTTCTGTCACAAATCTTCTACCCAACTGATCATGCAAAAATACATTTGTGAGCAGGGAATAAATGTTAAAACAACTACTTTAAAAAGTTGTTTGGGACTTAAGAGCATGACTTTTTAGCCCATGTTTCACACGGTGGAAATGGGGGATAAAAGGAATTAGGAAATGGATTTTAGATGGCAATTTGTGTTACAACACAAACTCGACATGTAAAAGTACAGACCTATTTAACCCGCTAAAAACTCAGGTCAACCTTCATGACTTGAAATAAACTCATTTCACCAATTCGAGTTTAGAATTTGAGTTTTACTACAGTAAAAAACTCTCAGAAACAGTCACATCTAACTTTTTTACTACAGTAAAAAGCTCTCACATAAAATCACATCTCAACTCGAATTAAAAACTCGAATCGGCAAACTAAACGAGAAGTGCATTAGCCTAAATTTTTACTCTTCACTCTTAATTAATACTCTTTTGACTAATATAATTATTTGACGAAAAAGAATATTAATTAAGAGTAAGTTCAACAAAATTTAAAATTTGCTTCAAATGTCTCTTTTGTTTGCTTTTTTTTTTCCCCCCCTTGCTCTTAATATTTAGCATGTTTGGAGAGGTAGTTGTGTCTTCTAGGTTATTTCTTATTATAGTTATTTGTATTATTGATTGGACGTTTTTGCTGCTTGGTGTAGAGAAAGGGAAATAGTAGGAAATATGCCAATATGAAAAGCTTAAGAAAGTGTATAAGCCAATTTTTAGTTATAGAAATTAAAATGCCATAACTTGTCAAGTTATGGTTCATAATCAGATAAGTTATGGACAAATTTGTTAAGTTGTGGTTCATATCCAGACAAGTTATGGACAATAACTTGTCAAGTTATGGACAATAACTTGTCAAGTTATGGACAATAACTTGTCAAGTTATGGTTCATAACCAGATAAGTTATGGACGAAAACAATAATCTGGCATATTTATTAACTTATGTAAACTATTGACCTATTAATTTTAATTCATCTCAAATCTTGACTTATTTCTCTCTTTCTTACGTAGAGAAACCGCAACAAGATTACAAGCCCATAGTGACAGGGGGTTATTGGCCTGGCCAATATTGAGTAATGAACAACAAATTAATTCGCCATCAGCAACAACAGTTTTACCAAAGTTCCAGAGTAAGAAGTTGATTTAGAAGCCTTGGGAGTCGACGATTATATAGAAGATCAGCATTTTGAAGTTTGTTTATGTTCCAAATATTATATACAAGTGTTGGCCTTTTTTTTGAAATTATTTTGTACCATGAGAAATCACAATCCATATTTTCTAATTTGTGATAAAAACAAAAGTTAATTTCCAAATAACAGGTGGCTAAATTTTCTTTTTCTGATCTCTCTCGCTTTCTGTGAATAGTTAAGGTGGATCAAATTACAAATAAATAAATGCGGAAGCATTTCAAAAGATAGAGCATCCCATTTATTTCACCGATTTGAGTTTAGAATTCGAGTTTTGTTACAGTAAAAAAGCTCTCACATAAAATTACACCTCAACTCGACTCAACGAACTAAACAGGACTATAGTATTGTTTAAAAGCTCTAATTATACAAGTTGATGATTCATGTGAGCAAGGAGTACTGATGGTGGATCACCATATTAAGTTAATTTTCAGTGATTAAAATGTCACATCTTATGAGAACAAATGTATTGAAACATATATATATATATGTATATATAATACATATATATGTACTTGTTAGTTCCCTAGACAAAAATAGCTAGGCAGCCACATCAAGATAATCGTTTCTAATATCCCTCACAAGTTCAGCCAAATAGCTAGCCTTTGGTTGGAACAAATTTGCACACAAGAGAGGAATTAGTGATGCCTTTGATAAATTACTAGATTTCAATCTTCACTAATGTACACGAAAAAAGCAGTTACACTAAAAAAAAATGATGCAATATTTTCCCTGGTAGGAGAGACGGTTACGCTTTTTTTGTTTTTTTGTTTTTTTGTTTTTTCAAAAATAAAGGAAAAAGAAAAAGAGACGAACAATGTGCAGTGAACAGAGAAGTTGGTACTAGGAGATTGTTGTATCTTGCGAGAACAAAACTTTGTCATTTGTGGATATTCCACATAAGGAATCTAATATGACGCACATAATCTGTGTGATTTTCTTGCTTTGTGTATGATGACAGCTAGTATACTCCAGATTCTTAAGCTTCTACATAATAAAGTCGACATTATAAATTTGATGTATCTATTTGTTGTATAGACATCATGAAGTGTTTTAGGCTCTTAAGTAATTCCCAATATATAACTGATTTTATCTCTACAATACCCTGCACTTGATAACTAATTAATATACACAAATAGCACTATCTTTGCAAGCACATTAGCACATGTACTTGATATGCTGATATGTACTCTTTCGTCATATACACACACACAATATATATGTTTGTCCATGTTCGTCCAGCTGATTGAGGGATTGTTGATCGCCAGGTTGTTGGTCCGTCTTTGTGTCCCATGGCACACCGTTAACCGTGAACGGTGGTTTCGCTGTCAATACCAGTTCCGTTGTTATTGTCATTCGTCACGTCTGTAGATGAAACAGTCTCCGAATTTTTCTATTAAGGGCTCCACGGTAGACGCCAAACTGTAGAGAGTGAAATCTATAATTAAATTTGTTAGAGGGCCAATGATTGAATTCGGAGGATAACATTAATATCGCGTAAGTAATGAAATAAATCAACATAAAAATAAAAGAGATAGACACACAGAAATTTTATAGTGGTTCTCCTGATAACCCAAAATACGTCCACTGTAGGGTCTTCGGTAGGTTCACTATAACTGAAGAAGATGATTACAATTGTGCTCTCCATGAATATAAAGAGAAGCAGTGTGAGAAAAATACTGAAAAGTATGCAAAAAAGAGAGTAAATATGCTTGCAGGGGTAAAAGGGTGTGTAGGAATGCGTGAATCCCTGTCTTCGAAGCCTATGGTATGCATTTATAGGCTCTTGGTGGCTGAAAATAAGCCTTTGGGTAGTTTCTTATTTGACTTTTGATTGATGATCCTCTAGGAAATCTTTCCTTATAGGGATGATGCTTAAGGAGCAAGCACGTGAATAATTAACTTTCCTCTTTACTCTTCTGGATGTGATCCCTTAGTTTAATATCAAATACTCTTGTTGGAGATGAGATCTTCGTACTTAATTTTTGAATGCTGAGCTAGCATGTCTATTTGATTGCTCGTCCGACAAGCTACTGAATTGGTTGTTAGGGCAACGCTGGGACCCTGTGAGTTGCCAACTGCTCAAAACCTGTTTTAGCTGATGATTTTATAATTTGATCTCATTCTTTGAGACACATGATGACACGTGTACGATGAGAAATGAGGAATGAAATTTAACTTTAACAAATACTATTATGTGCAAATCCTTTTAGGTTCTGCCCCTGGTATTTAAAAAAAATATATTAAAATAATATTTGATAATAGTGACTTATTATAATCTGTGTAACGAGCTTTCTGAGGCCATAGTGCACAAATCTTGTCAAATTAGTCGAGGTGATACATTTTAGAGTAGTCATGTAACGATTGACACTATCACAAAGTATGATGTTATCTGTTTGAACTTGAACCCTCACAGTTTTATTTTTAAGTTTCATCTCTTTTAATCTTATATTATTAAAAAGTGGTGTCTTTTATTATAGCCATCACCGGTTATTATCTCTTAACAACGTGAGACTGAACAACTTATTTTTTATTAGACCTCTTGATTCGAGAGATTAATAACCGCCACAAGTCCAGAACTATACATACGTGGAAATTTGCTTGAACTTTAAGGTGAAATATTGCTTCTGGCATCAATCCCATATAGTTTGTAATTGTTCATTAGAACCTCGGAGAAGGTATTCATTCCCCTATTGGTCTCCAACCCTCCAAAAGCTGTACACAATCTGAACTCTGGCATTTTCGGCCTAGCATGCAAGATTTTTCTTTTTCTTTTTTTTTATTGTTTTTTTTTCTTTCTTGTTTTTCTCTTTTATTATCATATGAAGCCGTATTGAAAGTTCAGATTCAACTAAAGGTGGTCCATCCTGTTTCCATCTTTATCAATTATATGCCAATAACTTTTATAAGAAAATTCAAGCATCGACTACAATTTCATATATATATATATATATTAATTTACCAATTCATCCCAAAAGCTTAAGTTTATGGGATGGATTGGTAAACTAACATGGTATCAGAGCGGGAGGTCCTGAGTTCAAACCACCATAATTACACTCTTTATCTCCATTTAAAATTATCATCACGTGTTGGGTCTTTATATATCTCGGGCTTAAATATTCACATGTTTGGCTTTCTCATTAATTTATTCACACGATTGTCTATTTTCCAGCCCACACGTGAGGGGGAGTGTTAAAGTATAAAACTATTGTTGGCCCACCTCCTAACAGCTTAAGTTTTTGAGATTAATTAGTAAACTAACAAAATATATATATATATATATATATATATTGAACTTGACAAATTTGGTGCACAACTCCAAAAATCTGAAACATTTCTCTTTTTTTTTTTCATTTTCATTTTTTTTTTTTCATTTTCATTTTTTTTTTTTTTCGTTTCTGCTCAAATGCAAGTCTTCCAGTTATTGTCTCACCTATAAAATACAGCTAGCAAGATACACGACCTCAACATGTGGTGTTAAAAAACGGAAGTCGGAGAGGAAAATGAGCTTTCTATTTCTCTGTTAGGAATGATTAAAATAACATTAAAATAATAGAATATGTAACTATTTCACAAATCTGACGGATAGAAACAGAATGAAAATTTTTTTTGGATGTTTCAATTTGTAAAACTGTGTTACAAACTTGTTTCATGGCTTGTCACCTTGCTTGCATTTATTATTTTCTTTTAAGTTTCAATTGTTTACACTATAGCAATAAATATCATCACTGCGCCTTTCAAGGCATTAACTTCCAACCCCCAAGAAGAGAAAAGTCTCACTCACCCACCACACTATTAGCATAGCAAAGCTTGTGGACAAATTTTATAGTCTGCTGATTCGAATTAAAATGTGATTTTATATGAGAACTTTTTACTATAGTAAAAAAGTTAAATGTGATTATTTTTTAAAATTTTTTACTATAATAAAATTTAAATTTTAAATTTGAATCAGTAAAATGAACAGTCGTAATACCTTTCCAACCAAAAGGGACAACACGGATATTATGGCTACTAGCCAAGTTTCACGTTCACATGGTTTTATTTCAAAATATAAAGTTATAAATCAAATACCAAAAGTGCTATTGTAAATTCGAATTATACATCAGACATTTCTATAAATTGCTTGATATAATTTTTTTTTTGTTAAAAAATAAAAACTTTTTTTGGACGATCCATATTATATGAGCTTGAATGTATGAGATAATCTTTTAGGCTAGCTACACCGTTGCACCATGTCAACAAGTCCTTTCCTTATATAAATTCAAGCTTTGAAATTCATTTGTCATAGCTTTGGAAACCTTTGGTTATAACTTATAGCATAAGTTTCGCATTTGAAAAGAAGATCGATATTTGAGGAACGATATCCTATAGTTTACATGGTTTAAAGAGATTCTACCAAGATAGTGAACAAAATGTGTGATAACAGAAAAAATAATAATTTTCTAAAAGAACACTAAATTCGGCATAAAATATTTGCTCACTATTTTGGTTTCTTTTTTTGGATTTTTTTTTTTTTTTTTTTGCTAAACGGTTTCTTGTTTTGGAATTATTACTCGTTATTAATTGCTTTTGCCTTTATTAATTCAATAATTCCGCCTCATTACAATTTAAAAAAGTGCCTTAAAACAGGAAATACATCATAACATGTGTCTTGTGGATAGATTAAATAATGAGCACAAAAATTCAAAGCTGTGCTCGAATCAAAAAATCCAAAAACCAAATTCCAGCTTAAGAAGACAAATACGAACAGAACAACCAACATGGGTGATTTGAATTTTGATGGGTGTGTCGTGGACGTTTGATTCATGGAGTCAGAATTATTTTCGTTATGTGTATTTTTTGTGATCGAGAAATAATGTCGAGAATCATGAATCGTGATTCAAAATTATGGACGAATACACATGAAACAAACATAAGAAGTACCCAACCAGCTAAGGGCAAGATAGTAAAATACAACTACATATACATACACAAATACGTATAAAAATTTTCTTAAAACAAGTAAGGTGGTAGTTACATTCATTAACTCCTCACGAAAAGTTAGGAAAACCCCATTCCCTGTTTTCCCACTAGATCATCCCCCAATCAAAAACTAATATATATTCTCTAAAAAACTCTCTTTCCATTTCCCAAAATTCACTCCACTTTGCCCAAACAAACTAGAATTTCTAACCACACACCAAACACAAACACACACCAAAAAAAAGAAAAAAAAACATGGCCAGGACAATTGCCCCAACCATGTTGTTGTTGGCATTCGTACTCTGCACCTCAACATTTTATAAGGCGCGGGCGCAGGCTCCCGCCACAGCGCCGAGCCTGGGCCCGTCGTCGTCGTCGCCGCCATCGTCACCACTGCCGCCGCCGCCGTCGTCGTTGCCGCCGTCCCCAACGTATGGCCCCACGGCCTCGGCCCCGGGGGCCGACTGCACTACCCTGCTGTTTGGGATGGCGGACTGCCTGTCGTACGTGCAGGAAGGGAGCAACGAGACGAAGCCGGACAAGGCGTGCTGCCCGGAGCTGAAGACGCTGGTGGACACGGCCCCACAGTGTCTTTGTGCGCTGCTGGCCAGCAACAATAGCTCTGCATATGGGATCGACTACGACAGGGCCACCAAGCTTCCCTCCGTTTGTAAAGTTGACACTCCACCAGTCAGTAATTGTGCTCGTACGTCTCATCTCTCATCTCTGTTCTTGCTTCATAAATTGTGGTCTTTGTCTTTAATTAATTATGCTAATTGATCATTTACTTTCTTCATGATTTTTTTTTCCCGTTAATTTCTTATTTCTGAAAATTTAATCATAATCATATTTCTCTTTTTTTCGGTTTTAACCTTTGTTTTAATTGGATGTTAAATAAAAAGGGGAATACAGTGTTATTTTCCGACAGTATTACATACATATTCCGTCTTTTATTTTTCTTAATCACCCAATTAAAAGAATGAAAGGGTCCGTTTTCTCTAACGATTTGAATTTTTAATTCGAGTTGAGATGTGATTTTATGTGAGAGTTTTTTAGTGTAAAAAAAAGTTAAATGTAACTATTTTTGAAAGCTTTTTACAGTAATAAAATTCAAATCGGTAAAATGAACATAATCAAAATAAATTGACAGATCATTTCTGAAAATCAGATACCAAAAGTGAAACTGGGGTAAAGTTCCAGGCTAGGCCTAACCATGTTTTCTTTAGTGTGCAATTGTTTGGTTTTAATATTAGTACTAGAGGGCACATTTGGATTTACTTTTCTGTATATCAGATTATTTTTTTAACTAATTGTTTAATTAATGGCAGCGACATCAGATGTGATTACATTTTCACATTTTTTTTAATCAGAACTTAGTATAAGTTATATTTTGTGACTCATTGTTTAATGGTAATAAATTTTTGGTGCTTGTTAGATTTAGATCTATCCGAGGCCAATGTGTCAGTCTTGTGTTTGTCAATTGTTTCATGGTAATAAATTTTTCTGTTTGTTTGATTTAGGCAATAAAATAGCCCTTATTTTTCCTAAAGGAAAGAGTTTGTTGTTAGAATTAATTCACACCTCTTATGTAGGTAGCTATTGATTTTTATTAATGACATGAATTCCAATTTCACAAATAACAAAACTAATAACCCAATGGTTAAAGATTAAAATAAACCGAGCGCCTTACGTCATTTAAATATAATAATAAATTATTAATTCATAAAAATATTGAGCATCTCGTTTAATAAAAGTGACTTTTTACTATAAGAACTTAAATTTTTAAAATGTTAATTTTTTAACTAACTACTACACCATTACTCACAATTAGTATACATATAAATATAAATAGACGAGTTTTTAATGATTATATTAGCGGGAGATTTTAGCAAAACAACGGGGGTCATACGGCACCGCCCATGCCTGTGGATGTGGCATTGATAGGCAATTAGCGGTGCCCATATCTGATATGATCTGAACAAAGTTATTATATGGAGTAATAAATTCTATCAAGACATGTGAAATATCCACCGCTCACCAACAACCTTTCCTCAAATAACTTCTCTCATTTAAAGCCAATAAAAGTATTCCCACCTAAACTTCTTTTCCAGCTGAATTTCCTCTTACCATGCATTTAATTAGTCTACCCATTTGTGATATTGCCTAGAAACTTGAAAGTGACAAGTTGAGGTAATTAGGCGAGAAAGAATAAGTTTTTTGTACGGGCTCGTTTACTTCGCTGATTCGAGTTTGTAATTCGAGTTGAGATGTGATTTTGTGTGAGAGCTTTTTACTGTAGCAAAAAAGTTAGATGTGATTGTTTCTTAGAGCTTTTTACTGTAGCAAAACTCGAATTCTAAACTCGAATCGGCGAAATGAACGGGCCTTACGTTTATATCAAATGAAAAAATAAAAATAAAAATACTTGGTTCGCAAGGTTTTGCTTTTGCTCGCTAAATTTGTATAAGATTATATCAAATTTATACTTTTTAATTTGATGACCTCTAACGAGATTTGATAATAAGAAACATGCTAGGTACTCAAAAAAAAAAAAAACAAAAACAAAAACAAATACTAGGGATGGTTAATAAATAAAGACATAATTTCTTAATAGTATGAGAATTTTTGAGGTAATTGTGCAGTTTTGAACCCAAAATAAACAAATATCACTCCAAATAGAAATGTGGATCATTAGAACATTTTAGTAGAGAGTAGACTAAAAAAGGTAAAAGTATTTTAGTATTGTAATAATACACAGATAGTGTTAAATTAAAAGCTGTAAATAAATTGTTCAAGTTCTAATCCTAAATTTAGAAGGCAGAAAAATTATTCCAACAACAAGTAGTATAATTAATTTTCCAAAAGAAAAAATGTAATATTGGTATTCTGTGTTGTAGCGTAATTATCTTTTGATACCTTGTGTTTTTAGTAATTTTAAATTGGTATCTTGAAGTTTTAAAAATTATTTTTTAGTACCTTAAGTCATTTTTTAAAATGTAAAATGTCAAAATTATCATTCTCGTTAATTAACCAAAAAACTAATAATAAATTTAGAAAAATTCTGAAATTTTTTTAAACATTTAAAAATTAAAAATTAAAATAATGCTTTAAATTAAAATAATTTTTCAGAATTTTTTCTAAATTTATTAGTTTTTGGTAAAGTAATGAGAAGGATAAATTAACATTTTACATCCTAAAAAAATGACCTCAAGATACTAAAAAATAATTTTCTAAAACGTCAATGTATCAATTTAAAATCACTAAAAACACAAGATACTAAAAGACAATTACGTTATAATATAATACAGGATACTAATATGAAATTTTTCCTATTCAAAATGCAACAATTATTACTTGGTAGGCAGATAAATCAGACTATTTTTGAGCTTTTGAATTCAAAAAGAAACTATAGTAAATCTTTATTTTTTTTAAAAAAAAAACGTACCATGTAGCCTAATTATTAACCATGATCGAGCTATTAATTTTGTTTTCCCCCAGTTTTTAGCTGATTACTTTTTCTATGGCTGAATGATTTGTTTTTTTGTTTTTTTGTTTTTTTCCATCTCTTAGTGACTGAAATTTTATCTGTGCAAAAGTTTATTCGGATGTATCCTAATTCTCAAGTTAATTAAAATTTTCGAATATTCAATCAATTTTGTTCTAAGGTAGTGAATTTGTTGTTGCGTTTCACAGTTTTGGGAATACCAGTGGGAGGTCCATCAGGATCTGCAGTTCCTGCATCTTCTCCAAGACTCTCACCAGGTACATTATTATATTTCTTTTAATGCCGTTATACATCAATTAGAGGACGTTTGGTTGGAGAATTCAAACTATGTGATTTGAATCATTTTCGATTTACGTGAATTTTTTGTGAGATAAAATACTGTAGCGAACCATGAATCATGATTCGAATCAGAGAACGAATCCCTCTACCAAACATCCTCAGATTCTATGTGATTTGGTTTACAAGTAATTTTTATTTTTTACACTAGATTCTTTAAGTTAATTTCTGTAGTTCGTTGACATTTAAAGCCGTTGGGGACCAAGAGTACAAAGGGACAGCAATCTTGTTTTATGCTGAAAGCGACTTTTGAGTGCAATAAGATTTTGGACTTTAAGGGGAGAAAAAACAAATAAAACAAATAAATAAAACGACAAAGTCTTAGTTGACTTAGAGACATAACTATCAATACCTAAAATCGACTTTTTTAAGTCATAACAAAAGTTTTAAGACCACAAAATCATAAACGTCGGTAGCTAATTGAGTTGGTAAAATTTTTTATCGTCGAAAACAAAAAACCGGTATATATGATCGGTGAACATATGAAAGAAAATTTACGTAATTAGAGAGATATGGATATGAAGACGTGATTTTGCAAAATGTTTGCAGGCAGGTTACCTTCCGAAGGAGCTTCCACAGGCCCAACGTCAGAAGGTAACAATGGCCACAAAGCTTCAACCGCTGCGGCCACAGTTGTAGCTGTGCTTGTTGGCTTTGCAATCACATCATTTCCCACATTCTTCTGATCATTTGATGTCTTGTGATTTAGTCTACTATATTTTTATATTTATTTTAAATTTCCCATTTAATCGATTGTTGAACAGAATGATTTATGCCTAGTGAGAATAACATTTGTGCTGTGTGTAGGAGGCTTTTTATTTTTCCCCTTTCCAGAAAAGAACAAAATAATCCACTGTTTTTTTTCCCCCCTTTTTCAAGTTTATCCTTTATTAATTGCATTATTTTACCTCAAGAAAAAAAAATATTACAGTAATGTTTTTTTGAACTTATTCTGAAATGAGAAAAAGTGGAGGTAATCTAACTACCGCACCACCCCATTTATGGTGTTATATTGTGCAAGACTTAAGGCTCCGTTCATTTCGCCGATTCGAGTTTAGAATTCGAGTTTTGCTACAGTAAAAAGCTCTCAGAAACAGTCACATCTAACTTTTTTACTACAGTAAAAAGTTTTCACACAAAATCACATCTCAACTCGAATTATAAACTCGAATCAGCGAAGTGAACGGATTTAGTTGACATGAACATAACTACTACAAAAAAAAAAAAAAAAGTTGACATGAACAAAGAACATGTTATTATTGTTTGTTGCGTTGTATTGTGCTTATAAGAACACATGTCCATAGGTTGCTATGGGCTAAAATAAAACAGAGTAATACCACGTGATACATTTACATTGCATTGATAGGATGGCAAAATTTTCTCTCTTCATAACCTTTTTACAACAAAAATAAAAACGTAAAAAAAAAAAAAAACGAAAACAAAAATCTTAGCCTATATTTAGTAGCTTGTATTGTATCACGGATCACGGATTTACTGTAAGATAATACAATATAATATGTTAAAAATGAGTCGTATTCTATAAATAATTGTATTAATTTAACATATGTATTAATTTATACAGTATAATTGTCACATTGAATATTGTATTAATGTATTATTATATAATACGGTGATCTAAAACGATGAAATAAACATTTCGTTAGGGTCTCTCTAGTGGGGGTATTCTTTGATAGTCTTTAGCTTTTTGTGTGCAAACACCCATCCATTTTACGAGTTTAGTAAATTCGTCTCTCAACTTTTAATCTTAGCAATTCACTCCCTACATTTTCAAAATTATTGTAAAGCTGTTCAAATTAAAAACAAGGTTAAAAATTTGGACAGAAGAACGTTTAATGAGGCTAACTCTGGTCTTTTTACATGGAATTGGTCCTCATATGCACTGTGCACATCGTGAGCCAGAATATTTTTTAAAATCAGAGATTAACCATTTTGGGGGAAAAAATTGGGGATTCCTCCAAACTTGGACCATCTGTTAATCCGTCTCTTCTTGGACCTCAATTGCTACTTATTGTAAATTTAGAGTGCAATTTATCAAAATTAATAGTTTGAGGAGTATATTGCAACTATACGTATAATTCTAAGTGCAACAGTAATTTTTCTCCTGAAAAAGAAAAATTGAAGATGCAACAAAATTTTCTTTTACTTTTTTTTTGTTATAATAATCAGATTATCTCTTCTAAAAAAAAATCAGAATTATCTAAAAATCAAATATGAAACTCATTGTAAAGTATTATTTCATTTTCTTTTGAGTTTTGAAAGCAGTAGTGTTATTTTATTTTATACTCTTAGAAAAAGAAAAAAAAACCTATAAAAAATAGGGTTGTACATAAATCCGAACAACTTGTAAACACAACTCACCTCACTTCAACCTAACCCCAAAAAAGCAAGGAAAATAGTAGAAAATAGACCAACATGAAAAGTTTAAGAAAGTATATAGGCCAATTTTTAATTATAGAAATTAATAGGCCATAACTTGTTAAGTTATGGTTCATAACCAGATAAGTTATGGATAAACTTGTCAAGTTATGGTTCATAACTAAATAAGTTATGGACAATTATGGACAATAACTTGTCAAGTTATGGTTCATAACCAGACTAGTTATGGACGAAATTAGTAGTTTGGCCTATTTATTAACTTATGAAAACTATTGGCCTATTAATTTTAATTCATCTCAAGTCTTGGCATATTTTTCTCTTTCTCTCAAAAAGCAATTTGTAGCATTATTTTTTATTTTTTGGCCCACTAAATGTCTCGTGTTTGGGGTGGTTTGTGGGTTGGGCCTATAATGGTCCGCATACTGCAACCCAACCCTCACAAATATTACCTCTTCTAATATCTAACCCTAGGCAACTCATTTCTACTCTCCGGCGTCCGTGGCTTCTTTCCGCCTCTCCTCTCAGCTCTCTCCGCCTCTCCTCTCAGCTCTCTCCGCCTCTCCTCTCGTTTATGTTTGAACGGATTTGAATTAAGTCTCTAATTTATGTTTGTTTTATGTTTGATGTTGGATGGACTACTTTGCTTCATGCTTGATATTGAATTGAACTTTTAATAACTATTTGTTTGATGATGGACTGATCAGTATTATTTCTATTTGATGATGAATTTTAAATGTTAGAGTTATGTTTGATGATCAATATTATTTCTATTTGATGATCAATATTATTTGATTATGAATTTTGAATGTTGGAGTTATTATTTTTATTTGATGATGAGCTTTAATGTTGGATTGAATTTTGATTCTTCAATTTTGAAACCGACCACCCAACCCACCCCGCACTGCCCAACTCAACTCAAATATCATTAGGTTGTGAAATTTTTTTAACATCGTTAGGGTTAAATATATGAAATATGCACCTTTTAAAGCAAGATAAGAAAAAGTCATACCACGTACCAACCTAACTTATGTACAGTCCTAATAAAAAAACAAAAACAAATACAAAAAAGAAAAAGAAAAAACAATGAATCGTACGGACCGTTCCATCTACGTTACGATACTCGGCACTTTTACGCGCACCGTTCGATTTGATTGCTTTAGTTGATCGGTGTGAGAAAATCCTTAATCCCTAATAACCATACGGTACGGCAAATTTCCCTCTTTCGAACAGTTTTCTCGTTGTTCTTCGAAATTCTCTCCTCCAAATTCCTCTTTCTCTTCGATTCTTCTTCTCTTTAGAGGCTGATGCTTTGATTTGATCTCTGAGGTACACTCGGAACTCATTCCCTTTCACCTTTGTCTGAATTTTTTGGGTTTGTGTTTCTCATTTTGGTTTTTTTTTTTTTGTTTTTCCCTTCTTCGGAAAAACAAAAATTTAATTTTTCCTAGGATTTCATTAGCTTTAGATCAATCTATAATTTTCTCTGAATTCATTCAATTCCTTTGTTTTTCATCTATTTAGCATCGATTGCTTTTGGTTTTGCTTTCAATTTCGTGTTTTGTACGTCAATTGGTTCTCGAATCTAGGATTGACTTCTAGGGTTTCCAACAATTTTAGGTTATTTTTTTTTCGAGTTCTGGTGTTGGGGAATTGAGTTTACGTTCTTTTACTAATTCAATTTCTAGGGTTAGCTTTTTTTTATGGCATTTGAATGCCGAAAGAGTATTGAGGTGTCTGAGAAATTAGCATTCTGCTTAGAAAATTCTTGTGAAGAACAAACCGAATTGAATCAAGTTAGTGCAAAATCCGAAATTGAAGAAGTTCAAATTTCGGAAGTAGGATCAGATTCTAAAACCATAACTGGGAAAGTTGCCGTTCCAGAGTTGGAATTTCATTCCAACAACTCTAGTTGGAAAACTTTTCAAAAAGATGTGTTTTCCGATCTCCGCCGGTCAATTACCGACCTTCCTTCGGCCTTGATATCGGAAATTCTTGACTGCCTCGGTCCGAAGGAGCTTGGTATAGTCTCTTGTGTGTCAACAAATCTCCATAGCCTTGCATCAGAGCACCATGTTTGGAAGGAATTCTATTGTGAGAGGTGGGGTCTTCCATCAATTCCGGCACCTATTGATTCAGGACTGCCAGATGAGAAGTCATGGAAAGAGCTGTTTGTGGAGAGGGAGTTTAGGAGTAAGACTTTTATGGGGCGCTATAGTATCGATGTTTTGTATGGCCACACTGAAGCTGTTCGGACGGTTTTCCTTTTGGCTTCTACAAAACTGGTCTTCACCTCCGGTTATGATTCAATTGTTCGAATGTGGGACATGGAAGATGGATTGTCTATTGCGTCATCACAACCCCTTGGTTGTACTATCCGGGCTGTTGCAGCGGATACAAAACTATTGGTTGCTGGTGGTACTGATGGATTTATCCATGGTTGGAAAGCGGTGGAGGGACTCCCGCATTTGTTTGACATAAGGGGTATTCAAAACCAGAATTCTCAGTTCCGTCTTTGGGAGCATGAGGGACCGATAACTTCTCTTTCTTTGGATCTGACTAGGATTTATAGTGGATCGTGGGACATGACTGTTCGTGTGTGGGATCGATTTTCACTGAAGTGCTTAAAGGTCCTGAGGCACAGCGACTGGGTTTGGGGGCTTGTTCCTCGTGATACGACTATTGCTAGCTCCTCCGGGTCGGATGTATGTGTTTGGGATACCAGTAGTGGAGATTTGATTACAGTTGTTCATAATGCTCATGTTGGTAACACTTATGCACTCGCTCGAAGCCATGCAGGCGATTTCATTTTCACTGGAGGAGAGGATGGTGCAATCCACATGTTTGAGATCATTGAGACCGATACTTTAAAGGTTGCAACATGGATTCCTCACTCAGGTCCTGTGTATTCCCTGGCATTTGAGTTTCCATGGCTTGTCTCCGCTTCAAGTGATGGGAAAATGTCTCTAATTGATGTGCGGGCGCTGCTCAAGGCTCGCAAGGATCGCTCAAGGAGGAGGGTTTTAAGGATGAAGCAAAGGGACCAGTGTAGCGTGGAGCCTCCACAGAGGATGTTACATGGATTTGTGAGCAACCTGTTTTCAGTTGATATTGGTGCTGATCGAATTGTCTGCGGAGGTGAGGAAGGTGTAGTTAGGATATGGAACTTTTCACAAGCTTTGGAAATTGAGCGGAGGGTGCGTGCTCTGAGAGGAATACGGTTGGAGAACAGGATGAGGAGACGCAAGGTTCAGCTGGAGATTAATAATAACAGTAAAGATGGCTGCAATGATCAATGTTCAGTTGCGGCCAAGAAGAATTCAGCTAATGGCAGGAATGGTGTTTGGTATAGCAAACGTGGGGTGAGCAGCAAGTTGAAGGCCTAGCACCGGATAATAATAGCTGTATGCTAAGCATCATGTATCTTGTCTTTACTTACTTTTATGTTACTTGTTTACACTTGATGCATTTTACAGATAAGGGAATACAATAGCTTTTGTTCATTCTCTGTGATCTGTTGGGGGTCCCTTTTTACAAGTTGACACTATATGGCTCTAATAAAGTTCTTTTGACTGCTCTCTGATTAGCTTCTTCAGTTGCTCTTCTCTAATTTGTAGTGATATATAATGTTGCATTTTGTGATTAACGACACCAAAATGTTTTATCCTATGTTGCGATTGATTACTCGATGATTGCTTCGGTTTGTTTTTTTCTTTTCAATGATATTTTGCTAAGAAGCGAATTTAAATATCTTGTTCTGTTACTTGCATCTTCCTTCATTTTTGAGTATTAGGGACCTCCTGGAAAGTTTACGCAATATATGAAATTTGCCAAGGTCATTCCGGGTAGTCAGTGATGTTCTTCTGTGGGACATTATGGGCTACAAGATAGATGCATGATAAAATCTTTATAATAAAAGTAGTTAAAAGAGGAAGAGAAAAAGGTTATAGAGTAGGTCCAGATCATGGAGATGGCAAAATAAGAGCCATTCTCATTTTTCTTAAGACAGCAACCGAGGAGGCTTAGAGGCTTAGAGGGAAAAGTGAAAGGAGGGAGAGGGGTTCATAGTTGTTTGGTAGGGGAGAAAAAGAAAGGAATGAATTGGGTGAATGATTTTGAATCGAGTATCCACTTTTAGGCCCCGTTCACTTCACCGATTCGAGTTTAGAATTTGAGTTTTGCTACAGTAAAAAGTTATCAGAAACAATCACATTTAAAGTTTTTACTACAGTAAAAAGCTCACATAAAATCACATCTCAACTCGAATTACAAACTCGAATCAACGAAGTGAATGGGCCTTTAATATCTTTAAATATGCAGAGATTAAACACAATAAGAGAATAGTTTTTTTTTTTCCCACCTATATTATATATCCTTCTTTCCTTCTATTTTATCTGTCCTACAAAACATAGCCTTAGTGAATTATCTAAGGTCCTGTTTATTTTACCGATTTGAATTTAGAATTTGAGTTTTATTACAGTAAAAAGCTCTCAGAAACAGTCACATCTAACTTTTTTACTACAGTAAAAAGCTCTCACATAAAGTCACATCTCAACTCGAATCAGCAAACTAAACAATCTTCCTTACGTCAATTCTCTAGAGGGTGAAATGCGTGGGAAATTGCAACTGTTGAATTTAAGGCACTATTATCCAGAAAAACTTGGTATTACCTGCGATGATTGGTTGTTTTACTAGTCAGAAATTTTCATTTGAAGCGATTAGAGTTCATGTGTAAGAACCATAATCTGTCTTCCTAAATATTGATAACATTCAAAGTTGGATGATAAAAGTTACTTCTTTATTAATTCCCACAATGTAATTTAAATCATGGGCTATTAGGAATACGAATGAATTACCATTGAGAATGAAAGATTTTATATTAGGGAATTTACAGAACTTAACTTATGTTTAAGGTTTAATCAGAAAGTATACTATCTATTTTAGATTTTATCAATTGTTAACATACATTTTAAGTGTGTATCAAACCAACACCTTGAATTATTAAAAAAATTGATAAAAACCGACACTTGAACCGATCAGCACTCAATTTTGACTAAAACGATGAGCAAAATATCCTTGAAAAGAAAAAAAAAAGCGAAATAAAATAAAATAAACGAAATAAAAACCTGAGAAAAAAAAAACTTGGGTGGTTGGCGGTGCCACTGGGAGATCGACAACAGGTTTTTTTTTTTTTTTTTTTTTTTTTCCTTTTTAAGGTGCGTTTGAAATTAATTTTTACTTATTTTTGAAAATATTTTTACACACCTTTTGAGGCGCAAAAATAAAAATTGTCTTTAAACCGTGTTTATTTAACAAATATTTTAAAAACGAAAATAAAAATAAAAAATAATAAAAATAGTTTTTGTGAAGGAATTAAAAAACAGTTGAATGTTGTTTTTCCTTCTCTGTTTTTATTTCTTAGTGCTTATCAACAAAATTATAATATATCAATTATAATCAAACACGATTTCACTTTTTTACTATACTCAAAATAATCTCTTAAAACATTAAACAAACGCAGTTTTAGAATCAGTTTCAGAATATTCTTAAAACAATCTCATTTTTACTTTTGTATTGAAAATAAAATCGTATTGAAAACAAAATCATTTTGAAAACGTTACCAAACAGAACCCTTAATTTACATATGTTTCCTTCAAGGACATTTTGGTAATTGTATAAGTTAAAGTTGAACATTAACGTCTCCAAGCCCCTAATTTTGGTCATTATACAAGGCATGAGATGAGAGAATTTTTTAAACAGTCCTTCATTAGCAAACTAACTTCCTGCTAAAGTTCCACAGTGATAGTTGTTCCACTCTCTCAAATATCAAATAAGCTTTTGTTGTAGCGGCCTTAGAAGAAGTAAACAAGAAAGTGTTAGAGAAAGCACAAGAATTCAAGAAAAGCCAAGAAAAGAGCGACACAACCAGAGAAGAAATATGAAAGCAAAGCAGAGTTTCAATGAAAACGACCCTCTTCTTCTTCCTTTTCTTCCTCTTCGTCGTCTTCTTCTTGTGGGCGTGTTTGTTCTTGTGGGGTTTCTCTGCGTCGCTCATGGGAGAATGATCAAAATCCAAGCCGTGCCCAGAAACGTTTCGGCAATGTACGTGCTGGGGGATTCTTCTGTTGATTGTGGAGACAACAGTTTGTTCTACTCTCACCTTCATCGCAATCTCTCTCTCCTTCCCTGCAACGGAAATGGCACTCTTCTTCCCCATCTTCTTGGTATTCACTCTCTCTCTCTCTCTCTCTTCCGTTTCTTTTTCTGTTTCTTGTTTTACTGATATTATTTGTATTTTGCCTCCTTTTATTTTCTGATGAATTTGTCCCTTTTTGTTGTTTATTGGGTTAATCAATGGAATCAATCTTGTTTTCTTGTTGGAATTGCGAAACATTGTTCTTGGGTCAAAATGCACCACTCTTTTATACCATTCTTTGTTTTATAATTGGTTGATGAACGGAATCAGTCTTGTTTCTTTTGTTTGTGGTAGCTACTATAGCCAACAATCTAGAAAATTTATTCCAAAAAGGTTATATATATATTATATATATATATATATGTATGTATATAAGCTTGTCCTGCGAATAGATGGAACATTCGTCAATGTGTAAGTGCTAATTTTTGACTGTATCATATTTATTATAATTCTGGCATAAATGAAACCCTCACTTATCAAGTGGATGTGCTTGTTAGTACTTTAGTTTCCTTAATTAGCAAGGTATCTCGGTCTGCCAACATACTAATTCTAAGAGTATTCAAAAATTTGATATTTGCGCTATATTTGGTGTCAAGTTTGACACCAAGTATAATATATTTCAAATTTTGACATTTGGTTTCTCATTGAATAAGGTGTAATGTTTTACTTAGTAATTATATTGGTACAAATTTTCTGTCATTTTAAAATTATTCCGAAGCTTAAAATGTATGGTATAACATTTCTAAATTGAAATGTCATTATCTATTGAAACATAAAATAGAATAATTGTTTCTTTATGCGAAATGTAATTTAGGCAGTGAAGTGCCAAGGAAAATGTATCTCGAACAGTTTTGCAATCACACTGCAGTTGTTTGAATTTTGAGTATTAGTTCTGATGCCAATTTTTTTTTTTTTTTTTTTTTTAACTACTTTGCGCTTGAGTCAGCTGATAAGATGGGGTTACCATATGCCACGCCATTCTACAATCAAAATGGCTCAATTGGAGATCTAGTTAAAGGCCTCAACTTCGGTTCAGCGCAAGCCACAATCATGTACCCCGGCAGCCAAGGCTACCAGTCTCTCAACCAACAGCTCCGCCAAGTTTTTGAGACTGTCGAGCTCTTGCAGCTGCAGCTCAGCCAGAGGCAAGTGCTCCATTTTGTCCGATCCTCCGTCTTCTACCTCTCCTTCGGAAAAGACGACTTCATCAACTTCTTTCTTAGCAATTCCTCCAATGGGACACCCAAGTACAGCAGCCAAAAAATTGCTCACATTTTGGTAACCGAGATGGTACGTGCTGTAAGGAGCCTGCATGACTTGAAAGTCAGGAAGATCATATGCCAGGGGATATTGCCACTCGGGTGCGCTCCGCGAACAATGTGGAAGAGGCTAGATCTCGCGGCTGGCGAGGACAATGGAGCTGAATGTTGGGAGAAGATCAATGAGATGGTCCTAGAGTATAATGTGATGCTGGAGGAGAAAATTATGGAGCTTAATGCACAGATGAGAGATGCCAAAATTGTCTTCTGTGATGTTTATCAAGGGATTAAGGAGATTATAGCTAAACCAAAGAGCTATGGTGTGAAACCCCTGAACCTCTTCTAGATTGGTTACTTTCATATTTGATGTAGATTTTGGAAAATTTACTAAGAATAAGTTGACAAATCTGTTTGAAAACTTAACTCTTAAACTTACCCCATCTGCCATACAACCTTCTATAAGGCCTTTAGTGTGTTTTGGGTCAAATGAATAACAAAGAAGCATATTTGATTGCTCTTTTTATAATTTGAATCACAATTTAAATTTTTTGTTATAGTATTTTTTCTCATAAAAATTTAAATTCTTTTTTTTTTCTAATATTTTCTCTCAGACATATTCACTTTTAAACTTTTCTCAACTTGAACCCGAGAAAAGAAGACTCTAAATTTCCTTTGTTCTTACAGTATGTTTTTCAATAATTTCCTTTAAAACATTATTTCTAAGGGAAAATTAAGCAAATTAACATCACTATAATTGAAATCTTGTGTTGTGACTACATCTGACAGGGTTTGAGGATGCGAAGAGTGCATGCTGTGGGCTGGGGTTGTACGGCGCGACAGTTGGGTGCCTCTCTGCGGATATGGCATGTAACAAAACAGGAAGTCATGTTTGGTGGGACCAATACAACCCCACAAAAGCAGTCAACTCCTTGTTGGCTGATTCTGCTTGGTCTGGTCATCCTTTCTCTGCTCTCTGCCGCCCATTGTCCATTCAGGAATTGGTTGTCTGAGTACTCTTTACATTTTCACATCAGCATTACCTTTTCTTGTCATTTTCCTTTTTTCCAAGTTTAGTGGGAATTTTTAGATTGCAATTTGATTGATGTGAATATAGACGTAGATAGAGACGCTTTTTGCAAATTAAGAGGACGTTTGATTGGAGGATTCAAACCATGATTTAAATAATAGTTTATAGTTTGTTATAGTATTTTTCTCATAAAAAATATACATAAATTAAAAATAATTCTAATCACATGATTCTAATCTATGAACCAAACGTCTCCTAAAAAGTTATTATTATAGGACTCTTTGTACAAACATCTGTCTCCAGAGTGACCTCTTTTCTGTGAGCTTTTAAGTCTATTACTTGCACCCCAATTATAACCAATTCCATGTTTTTTAAAAAAAAAAAAAACTGGTGTCGGATATTTGATTTGATTTGATATGATATCAACATTATAAGACAGAGTTTAGTGTGGATTTATAGAAATAAGAACCAATTGCTGTTTAAATTTAATTGGTTTGTATGCAATAATTTTACTTGACACAAGCACTGATTATGATGAATAAGGGTTACAAGGATAGATGCAATCAAGCACAACCAGAATTCAATTTGAGCATTTGACCACCCCTTGTTATGTGGGAATAAAATGCTCAACTAAAGTGGACAATTCAACTGATTTTTTTTTTAAATCATTTTTATAATAATCTCCAACATAGTCATTGGCTTTGTCTTCTTGGGCTTCGTAACAGGAGAAGACATACTTGCGCGAGTGAAACTGTATACTTCCATCAGAAAAACACGAGCAAAATTTTCTCGAGAAACAAACCAATCATCTGGTGCCTTTTGTCGCACTAAGAAGTAAAATAATTGAGAAAATCACTCACTTTTCTTCCGTTCCAACCAAAGCTATGGAGATAAACAATCATTTATCATTTTCTCACTCAGCCAAACACTCAGAAACCCTAACAACCATCAAATGGCCGCCCAACTCCACCTCTCACTCTCTCTCCCCACTCGACTCTCTCTCTCCACCTCCCACCGCCCTCGCATGGCGGCCTCAACAAGCAACTCCGAAAAGCCGGCTCCCATCTCCGGCCGCAAGCTTCGCGCTGCCGTTATCGGCGGCGGTCCAGCCGGATCCTCCGCCGCCGAAGCCCTCGCCGCCGGCGGAGTTGAGACCTTCCTCTTTGAACGCGCGCCCTCCGGCGCAAAGCCCTGCGGCGGCGCGATCCCGCTCTGCATGCTCGACGAGTTCCAAATCCCTTCCCACCTCATCGATCGCCGCGTCTCGCGGATGAGGATCTTCTCGCCGTCGAACCTCGAGGTCGACTTCGGCAAAACTTTGCTCCCTCACGAGTTCATCGCCATGCTCCGCCGCGAGGTCCTCGACTCCTTCCTCCGATCCCGCGCCGAGTCCAGCGGCGCAACTCTAATCACTTCGCTCGTCACGGATCTCGAGATACCGGAGTCGAATAACTCGCCGTACGTGATTCACTACATCGCCGGAGATAGATCTGGCCGGAAAGAGAAGATCGCGGTAGACGTCGTCGTCGGCGCCGACGGCGCCAACAGCCGAGTCGCGAAGGCGATCGGCGCCGGCGACTACGCTTACGCTATCGCGTTTCAGGAGAGAATCAAACTCCCCGACGAGAAAATGAAATATTACGAGGATCTCGCGGAGATGTACGTAGGAAACGACGTGTCGCCCGATTTTTACGCGTGGGTGTTTCCGAAATGCGACCACGTGGCGGTGGGCACGGGCACGGTTCGGGCCAAGCGGGATATCAAGTCGTACCAACGGGCCATTCGGGAGAGGGCGGGGCCCAAGATTAGTGGCGGGAAGGTTATAAAGGTGGAGGCCCACCCGATTCCCGAACACCCGAGAGCCGTGCGGGTTCAGGGTAGGGTGGCGCTGGTGGGGGACGCGGCGGGGTATGTGACAAAGTGCTCAGGGGAGGGGATTTATTTCGCGGCGAAGTCGGGGCGGATGTGCGGTGAAGGGATCGTGAGGGCGTCGGAGGGTGGGACGAGGATGATCGGCGAGGGGGATCTTAGGAGGGAGTATTTGAAGGAGTGGGATGGCAAGTATGTTGCCACGTTTAAGGTTTTGGATTTGTTGCAGAGTGTGTTTTATGGGAGCAATGCCGCTAGGGAGGCGTTGGTGGAATTGTGCGACGATGAGTATGTGCAACGCATGTCGTTTGAGAGCTATTTGTATAAGAAAATAGCGGAGGGTAATAGGTGGAAGGATGCCAAGATGTTGTTTGATACCGTTGGGAGTTTGATTAGGTGTAAGATTGTAGGCAGGAAGAGGGAGGTTTTAAATTACTAAGAGGGTTTTTTTTTTTTTTTTTTTTTTTGGGTTCTCTTCGATCTTTTAAGTAGTAATTCACTTGTTTGTTTGTTTGTTTGTTTTTTTTTTTTTTAGAATAGTAATAACTTGTTTTAGGTGTGAGAAGTTGGGTGAAAGTGTTGTGATGATTAATTAACATTATACGATGTTTTGTAGTTTGATGATAAACTAAATTGGTAAGTGATCAACATTATATATAGCTTATTATTGTATTGTTCGGTACCGACAATTTCTCACCCAAGTGGAGTGCAATCAAAATTTAAAGACATATACATCAACAATCAACTAGAGCAACAATTTGACATTAGCGCACAAAAAAAGAAAAATGAAAAAGAACACGCACACAAAATAAAGACATGAAAAATACCATTATTCAAGAGGTAATTTTAAAAATACCTTTTAAAATAGAACCATCTTTTTTTTTTTTTTATCCTTTAACAACACTAACCTATATATTTTTACTTTTTAAATTAAAACTAGTCAAGATGTAGTATTTTTAAAAAAATATATTTTTAATAAGTCGTATATTTTAAAAATTAAAAATGTAGAATATGTAATCTTATCTTATTTTCAATACATCTCAATTCAACTAAAAAATAATAAACCAGTCAAATTAATAGTATTACCTTGTCAAGAGAAATGATAAAAGGGTGTGTACTAAACACAATATGATGAGCCAAAGTTGTCACGTTGTCATTATAAATTTACACTAAAATTATGTTTATTTTACCGATTTGAGTTTATAATTTGAGTTTTATTACAGTAAAAAGTTCAGAAACAGTCACGTTTAATTTTTTTACTACAGTAAAAAATTCTCATATAAAGTCACATATCAACTTGAATTAAAAATTCAAATCAGCAAACTAAACGCGCTCTAAAAATGCATAATTTTGCCCTTTTTTTTTTTTTTTTTTTTTTTTGTCACACCGCGAGTGATCTTAAACATCCTACTTTTTTTTGCGTCCTTGGACCATGAGAGAAAGAGTGGCCAGTTTGAAGATTTTGTTATCCATATCCTTGTCAGTGCATTAAATGGTTGCCTCACACTCAACCACACGTGCCAAAAAAAATGCCCTTTATCCAATATCCATCCAAAAACCAAAGATTACCCTCTATATCATAATCAACTGCGAGAGTCCCTCCCAATCTGAAAATATTAAAAAAAATAATAAAAAAATAAAAAAAATAGAGAAACTGATAATAATTCTGCAAAAATGGAAATACCAGCTCAATCTCTGTCTCATGCCAAACTTCCGAAGCCTCAATTCCCAAGCAGCTTCAATACCAAAGCCTCCCTTTTCGCTTCAAGTTCTGTCCCCAATAAGACCACTATTCTAACGCAGTTTCAAGGTGTTAAAATTAAGGCACGACAGTTGAAGAATTTAGGCGTCGTTTTTGCTAATTCTGAGGCCCAAAGTCCTCCCGCAGACGTTGCTAATAATGATAGATGGCTCCTTGAACCTGTCGGTCAGTCATCTCTCTTCTTCTTCTTCTTCTTCTTCTTCTTCTTCTTCTTCTTCTTCTTCTTCTTCTTCTTCTTCTTCTTCTTCTTCTTCTTCTTCTTCTTCTTCTTCTTCTTCTTCTTCTTCTTCTCTCTCTTCTTCTTCTTCTTCTTCTTCTTCTTCTTCTTCTTCTTCTTCTTCTTCTTCTTCTTCTTCTTCTTCTTCTTCTTCTTCTTCTTCTTCTTCTTTCCCCTTTTTATTTGCTTGCCTGTAACTATATGGTATGGAATTGTAGAATTTTTATTATTAAAATGTGTGTATTCTTTTCCTCTTATCAATATAGTTTTCTTTTCACAAAACTTAAGAGATATACAATCCATTACTTTGCTACATTTTTTTTTTTTTTTTTTGCCTTTTGTAACATAGTAAGAAAATTCTGGAGTTTTAAAGGAAATTAGCAAATATCCATCATAGTATTTTTTACAAAATTTTTTAAGATGCATAATAATATAACTAATTTGAAGCTAAATTTTTCATTTTTCTGGTTTTGCTGATAATCAAACTACAGAAGCCTTCCACATTTCCTATACGAAGAATTCAATTTTAAAGTCTCAGAAATTGTTTTTTTCCCCCTACATTGTTTGGCAAAGATACTGAGAATACAGAGAATTATGTACTTGACAGGTGATGGAGATACTAGACACATAGGCTTTAAGGTTGCAATGCCAAATGCATTTGAAATTGCTTCTGTAAGTATTTTAATATCATCGTCTTAGCTCTTAATTTCACCAATTCACAAAATTAAACTGATCAATTTTTTATTTTTTTTTATTTTTTATTTTTTACTGTTCTTCTTTAGGATGAGGTTACAGTTGGTCGTCTTCCGGATAAAGCCGATTTGGTGATTCCGGTTGCTACAGGTACACTATAAAAAAGCCTCAAATTTGTCATTTTCTTACACAAAATGAAATAAACACTTACAATGTTGATAATGTGTTACAGAACCATGTTACGTATTACGAATGCCTAATTGAAGTAAATTTTTCTTTTTTTTTTTTTTAATTTGAGGGTGGGTAACTCGAACTCATCACTATGGTAGAGACAGATGTGAAATTACTGCTAGACTATGCCTGCAATAACTAATTGAAGTAATTTTATACTCTAAAGAAATTTAAAACTAATTGCGTCGTGAATTTGTTTGTAATCGATCTTTTAGTATCGGCTCGGCACGCTCGGATTCAAAAGAAGGCGGGTAGTCTGGTGGTCACAGATTTGGATAGCACCAATGGCACTTTCATCAACGACAAACGGCTAGCACCTGGAGTAGCTGCCACTGTATCTCCTGGAAGTTATATTACGTTTGGTAAACTTTCCCCAGCTCTAACTCATTTAACTCAATTATCTTTTTGTTAACTACTTGATTGTAGAAAGCAAATGAAAAACCAAGGGTAAATTTTGCTAGTAATTAGAATCTACTTTCAACTCAGATATTAAGGCCCCATTCACTTCGTTGATTCGAGTTTAAAATTTAAGTTTTTCTACAGTAAAAAGTTCTCATAAACAATCACATCTAACTTTTTTGTTACAGTAAAAAGCTCTCACATAAAGTCACATCTCAGCTCGAATTCTAAACTCGAATCAGCGAAGTGAACGGGACCTAAATTTGACAAGAGTACTAACTGTTGTAACAAATTAAGAAGTTTGAAAAATAAAATATTAGAAGAGACTTGTACATCAAATGAGATCAATCTATTTACCTTAAAATTAAAAAAAGAAACTGGCCTTACTAGCCGTTGGTCAGCATTAACTAGTCTAACGAACTGCTTTGTCCAACTCCCGAACCATAACAACGAGCCTTTTTTTTTTTTTTTTTAATGGGAGGCCAATTAATATATATGTCTTCAACAACTATTAGTAGAATTATTCTTTAATTAGCTATAAATAATGACTAGATGAATTTGTGAAACTTTTTATATATGAACTTGAAAAAAGCCCCTAGCGTTGGATACTGGTGTCACGTAACATTGTTCTTGTAATTTGGTGTTGGGATTGCAGTATGCAAGTAGCAATGTACGAATTCGTGCATTTAAATTTCATAACTGCCCCTAAACTTTGTACCTTGTTTTAACATGTACCTGAATTTTAAAAAGGGATCATTTCATCTCTTAAAGTATGAAAAGCGGTTCAAAACACCCTATGAACTAATGGTTTTTCACAAGTACTCTCTAAATTATTGATTTTGTGTCAACTTATCCTCCGATCTTTAAAAAGTTAGGAGACAAGTTGATACAAAAATAATAATTCAGGAGGTAAGTTGACTTAAAATCAATAAATTGACAGGCATAAAAATATAAGTAGTATCATGTCATCAATTTATTAATTTTATAAATATAAGGAATATTTTGAACTAAGATACATATTTTAGGAGGTGAAGTGAATTTTTTTCAAAATTCAGAGGCATATTAAAATAAAGAACAAAATTTAAGGGGTTATGAAATTTAACCCATTTATCTTTTATTTCATAGGATTGTGGAGTTCCATGTTTAGTAGCAGCTTGAGTATATTGAAGAGGCAATTAACCCGGATTCTGTCCAAAATACTTGTCCACTTCTCTGTCCAACTAATAACTAATTGACACCTCATTCCACTTATTTGAACTACTAACAGAGAAGAAAAGGGAACTCTCCCGTTCCTATTGGAAATTAAATTATCTCTCTCCTCCTATCTTTCTCTCACTTCTTTTCATCTTATATCTTCTGCATCTCGTTTGCACTTTAAATCACACACCAAAAAAAATAATGGATTAATTAAAAAAATTTCCTCTAAATTATGACTTATATAACACTTTCTTCTCTGATCTTCAAAATGTAACACCCGTCATTCCTGAATTATGAATCATTAACAAAAATGCTCTGTGGCTTTTAAAAGATTTTAAATTTTCTATAAAAAAAAAAGGAAAGGTTTTAATTAGCCATAAATGATGGATGTTGGCTTGATTGATGGTAAATTGTAATTGACTGGTGAAGTTCTTTTCTTTTGTGGGTGGATTGCCGGCCGTAGCATATATATATATATATATATATATATATATATATATTGATTTGTCATGTATTTCATGAGACTCTATGAATTAATTTTCATGTTATAAAATTTCAAATTTCATGTTACCTATATATTTCAATGAAAAGGAACTTGATGTTACAAATTAAGAGCTAATCAAGTGACCTCCATTACTGTACGTGCTCGTTTACAGGAGATATCCACTTGGCTATATTTCGTGCGTCAAAACTAGAGAGGACTGTGGAATCTCCAAGTAATTCGGAAGGAGGATCTGATCAAGTAGACACTGATAGTCCTCCCACTGAGAACACTTGAAGCGAATGTCGTTCATGGTGAAATAGGTGCTAAGGGTATCAATTAATGTTTATTTTTTCATTTTTCTATGGAAAATATTTCTAAAGTTTGGCAAATAAAATCATGGAATGAGCGGATTAAAAATATGTGTATTTTAAAAGACAACAATAACAACAAAAGAGAGAGAGCCGGAGACAGATGTGTTCAATATTAGCGAGTTTTTATTTTTTATTTTTATTTTTATTGCTGGTCAAAATGAGATTTATTGAGAAAGCTTTGAGGGCAGGAGGGAATTTGAGAGATTGATCATTGATAGACCTTTGTCGGAAAAATAGAGGATAGAGATTAGTTTAGGGTCCGTTTAGTTCGTTGATTCGAGTTTTTAATTCGAGTTGAAATGTGACTTTATGTGAGAACTTTTTATTATAGTAAAAAAGTAATTGTGACTGTTTTTTAGAACTTTTTACTGTAACAAAACTCAAATTCTAAACTCAAATCAGTGAAATTCGAGACTCATAATTGTTTGATACGTGAGAAGACTAGTGAACATTGTATTGAGTGAGATTTCATATCCTTCAAGAATCTTGATTTTAATCTCTTAATATTAGGCGATTACATAAGAAAATGCATATCAAAACTAATAATAGAAAAATCCTCCCCTTACCTCTCCCCTTTTTTTCACCTAGGTTATACACATTTCTTTCTTTTTTTGCTACGTCATGTACATTTAAGAAAGTAGCTAATCTACTAAGGCCTCATTTATTTTACTAATTCGAGTTTTCGATTTTAATTTTATTACAGTTAAAAGTTCTCATAAAAAGTCACATTTAATTTTTTTTTACTACAGTGAAAAATTCTTACATAAAATCACATATTAACTTAAATTAAAAATTTTAATCTGTAAACTGGACGAGACCTGAATAATAAAACATTTTTGCAACTTCGAATTTGCCAACTTAAGTTAGCACTTTCGTCGTTGTTCTCTTTGGACTTTTCATGAGCACATTTCGTTTGCAAACAAATTTATTGCATATATAATTCTTCGTTCCATGCTTCTCCAAATGACTTGTGTTGTTCGTCGGGGGTAAATTTGTTGTCATTTGACACGTTGTATTAAAGGAAAGATCTTAAAGATCGCGTCATAACGTGACGAGATCATTGACAATAGGACTTCTGGACTAAAAGCAAGATAGAGACGCTACAAATTTTTTGATATTAACACTAGCGTTAGTAGGTGAATGATTAGTTTTTTACGGTTTCCTTCATTTCAAATTTAAAATTTAAATTTTATTATAGTAAAAAATTTTCAGAAACAGTCACATTTAATTTTTTTACTATAGTAAAAAGTTCTCACAAAAAATTACATCTCAACTCAAATTAAAAATTCAAATCAGGGAACTAAACGCGCCCTACATTTTAGTCTCTAAACCTTCTATTTTTACATATTATTCCCTGACTTTTAGGTTTTTTTCTTATTTTGTTTTGCAGTTTTAATTACCGACGTGCAAATCAAGAAGGAATATTTTTTGAAATAAAACGGAAATAGTCACATTTTTATTGTATAATAATAGAAAATTTTACAAAAATAATTTCACTTAATACATAATGATATTTTTTTAAGAATTTTTAACAATAATGTAGAGAACATTGTAAGGGTTGTTCTTTTATTTTTGAGTTAGGATAACTTGAGTGATGATCTTGAGTTGAACTTGAGTTATAATTTGAGTTGAAGTTGTAACTTGAGTTTGTGTTTGGATGTGCACATTCGTACTTACTAATAAATTTGATCTACTCTTCGTTTTCATTGGTGTTTATTTTGTTTCTTTTTTTTTTTTTGGATAAACCTGGCTATGAACAGGTCCTTTAGTCTCCCTTTTTGGTTTTTCTTCTCTGAGATATACTTGAAAATGGATAGATTCTCATAGTCTTTTTATTTGGAGGAAAATCTGATTTTCCACAAGTTTTTTAGTCTTTTTTGTTCTGGAGTAAAATGTGTTTATGGACTTTTTATTGATGAATTTCTTTATATGAAGTTTTTATCAGATGAATTGGAGTTTGAATGTTTCTTTTTGCAAGAAACGGAGAGAAATACTCATTTGTTTATAACTTACTTACCAATATATTTAATATTTTCAATTTTAAATTTAACAGAATGTAACTATAGGGACTAAATTTAAGACTTTAAAAGAGTTTAGGGTCTAAATTATAACACTTTTAAGTATGTGAACTAATTATAAAAAAAAATAATTCAGAGACTTATGACGAATTTAACTCGTAAATAAATAAATACCAAAGAAAGAAAAGGTGGGAGGGAGAAACATTGGGTAAGAAGATGACACATTTAGATTCCGTTCATTTTATCTATTCGAGTTTAGAATCTGAGTTTTATTATAGTAAAAAACTCTAAAAAATAGTTACATTTAATTTTATTATTATAATAAAAAATTCTCATATAAAGTGACATATCAATTTAAATTAAAAATTTAAATTAAAGAATTAAACGGATACTTATTAGTACCTTGCTTTTTGTGATAGACATGCCATTTTTTTTTTAAAAAAAAAGGCCAAACCTTGCTTTTTGAAATGACTCGGTCCCAAGATATTCAACGCTTATCTAACACCAATTAAATAAGACCGTTGTTGTCTTTGCAGAAGTAATAAGGACAGTCAGCAGTGTTCCTTGTATGAAAATTAATCGTGTGCGCCAACTGCCGGACAACTAAACAATATATGTATATATATATATATTTATATGTATATATGTATGTATCTTTATTGCTGGCACCAACTGAATACACGTTAAAATTGCCCATTTTGCCACACCTGAAAAACGTTGGGTTAGGCAAGAAGAAATAGACAAGAGAATAAGAACACCCAGAAATACATAGAAGTTTCCTTTTTGTTTTTGTTTTTTGTTTTTTGTTTTTTGTTTTTTTACACCAAATAATGAACTGGAACCCCACTCTTTTTACTCGTTCCACACACCTTTTTCCTCCTGAATTTAACTGAATATAATAAATACTCCCTTAATTTGCGTCCCCTTTCTCTTTTGGTATCGAGTAACACATTCCCTCTTTCTCGCCTATCATCTTAAACACAGATAATTATAGGAGTATTATGTTTTATGAGCTTATTTGGTTCGTTGATTTGAGTTTTTAATTTAAGTTGAAATGTGACTTTATATGATAACTTTTTACTGTAGTAAAAAGGTTAAATGTGACTGTTTTTGAGAGCTTTTACTGTAGTAAAACCTGAATTCAAAACCCGAATCGGTGAAATGAACATGACTTATAATGAAACGTGTGTTTTTTTTCTTTTATAATATTGAAATAATATATTGCGTTTTTAAAAATATCTTCTTAGTACTCTGAAGTTTTTTTTTTTAAGACGTATAATGTTCAAACTATTTTCCTTATTAATTAAATAGAATTAAATATTTTTTTAAAAAGATTTAAAATATTTTTTAACATTAAAACATTTAAAAAAATAAAAAAAGCCATAAAAATTTATTATTTTTTAGTTAATTAAATAAAAGAATAATAAAGTCATTTTACGTCATAAAAATAACTTCAACAAAGAAGATGTGTTTAAAAACATTGAAGTACTGTTTTAATATTATAAAAAAATACCAAATATAAAGACCATATTTCACTATAATGCAAGGTATTAAAATAATTTTATCCCATAATCATATAACGGACGAAGAAAATCTAGATGCTGTAGTTAAGGCTTAAATTTAACTGCTTGGTTTGCTTTTAGGTATTTTTTCTCTAATAACACACTCATATTCTACACACGCAAATTATTTCTTGACCATTAATTAGTGTGTAGTCCACAAAATGTACATACAATATATTCTTGACTTTATACTAATTTTCTCCAAGTAAAATACAAAATATTTAAGCACTTACAAATTATTATCTTCCCTCTTATTAAAGCCCATATATAGATATACATACATATTCTCTCTTGACCATTAATTAGTGTGTAGTCCACAACATTCATATACACTTAGCTGTTCTTGGCATTTCTCCTGTATAATATATTCTTGACTATATTAATTTTCTCGAAGCAAAATATAAAGATATTTAAGCACTTACAAAATATCATCTACAGCCTTGTTAAAGCCCTTAGAAAAATATATTCTTGACTTTGCAATACTAGAGAAAATTGCTAAACTTATTTTTAATATGCATATTGGTCTCAATTTTTATCCTTTATATTTGATTAATATCCTTTTTAACTAATATAATTATTTGACTAAAAATCATATTAATTAAAAATAAAGAGATAAAAATTCAAACTGATACACTGTAAAAAGTATTTGTTCTTTTCCCTTTATACTAATTTTCGCATGGTAATTGAAAGCTTTAAGAAATAGTTATGTTAAATAAAAAATATTTATTTTTAACTATTGTTAAAGCCCTCGCAAACTTTAATTGTTTTTATAAAACTTTCAGCTAGTATGCGTTGGGGATGTGATTAATTCGGTTAAATTTAGAAATTTTTTTGTCAATTTTAATGTCATGGATTAAAATTACTAAAAAAATAAAGTCTAAATTTGTTAAAAAAGCCGAGATGGAGGTAACAAAACATCGATTATGATATTAAAACAATTCAATCATTATTTCAACTAAAGAACAATAAAGAATTTATACAAATTTTCTGAATTGACGTGCACATAACTCCACTAAAAAATATAAAATCGAGCTCTACAAAATACATATATATATATAATTCTTTAGTTAGAACTAAAAAAAAAAAAAACCTTTGGATCATATAAAAAAATTAACATGCATATATATATATATATATATATAATTTCTCTTTCGAAATGAGTTATGCAAGGTTCTTATAACCAGCGAATCCTCAAAATTAAGAGAAGTCGTGGCACCGTCTTCTTCATACTTATATGAGAATTTATTTGTTTCTTTATCTTTTATAATTTGTTTAACTATATAAGAAATGTGGCATTTATATTGTATAGTCAACTAATCAACAAAATAGAGGATGGCAAGTAAATTTTCAGGTTACTCATAGTCATAGAAAATCTAGGCACCTTACTACTACTTTAAAAAAAAAAAAAAATTGAGATGAGAATTAATTTGAACTCTACTAATGATAATAGAATTATGTGTGAATATGTAACCACAATATACTATTACTCTCCATCCTTCAATGACTTTATTTAAATTAACAAATACATATATTTTTTATTAATTGATCAAGTATTGATGACTTTCTTTTTTGATGAATCAATAGGTGCAAGTTGGACCCGTTCATTTCGCTGATTCGAGTTTTTAATTCGAGTTAAGATGTGATTTTATATGAGAGCTTTTTACTGTAGCAAAAACGTTAGATGTGATTGTTTGTGAGAGTTTTTTACTGTAGTAAAACTCGAATTCTAAACTCGAATCAGCGAAATGAACGAGTGTCCTCAAACATTTTTTTTTTTTTTTTTTGGGGGGGGAATTTAGCTTTGTTGTTTTCCTTATTCTTTATGGAAGATATCCCCATTACGTGCGTTCCACTAATAATTGTTTATTAAATCACCTTCCTATTGTATCTCTTTGTTTTCCTTCTATTTCTCATTCTTCAGATATGTTAAGAAATCCCAAAGCATTAATTAAACCACTATTATATAGATCACACAATTCGTTGGCTTCCATATATAGAGTATACACTCATAAACATAAAAGGGTGTATTCGTAAATTTACTCCACCGCTTACTTATCCTGAGCTGTCATTAGCATTCTTTGAACTCTCCTAAAACCTTCACTGCCCTCGAATTTACATTTTTACCCTTACTTTAATAACTGTAGAAAACACAAAGCTACACCAATAGTGGGGGTAGTTTAGTAAACTCGTTACTATTTCCTTTCTTACTATTTATCTCCGTTTTTGAAATCTTACAAGTTTCCTTTCTTCGGACGCGGTTTTCTCTGTATTTGTTTTATATATACACATACAAAACAAAATCTCCACTCTCTCTCTCTCTCTCTCTCTCTCTCTCTACTCAGTCTCAATTTTCGTTTTTGAAGCGCATTAGAGAGAGAAACTCCGCATTCAGCGAGTTAACTCAGTCACGATTTCAATTGCGTCGCATAGAAAACATCATATTTCAATGGCAGACCGAGTCTACCCGTCCGGCGATCAAGAAACGGCGTCATCGACGCCTCAGAACTCCTCGGAACACCCACTCAGACCAATTCCTCCGTCACCGGAGAAGCCAGTCCCTCCTCCGGGCACCTACGTGATCCAGATTCCCAAGGACCAAGTCTACCGCATTCCTCCGCCGGAGAACGCCCGCCGCTTCCAGAACTACTCTCGCCGGAAATCTCGCCGGAGCAAATGCGGCCTCTGCCTCTGCTCTCTCCTCGGCTCTATCGTCGTTCTCGCCATCCTCGCCGGAATCTCGGCCGCCGTTCTCTACCTCGTCTTCCGGCCAGAATCACCGAACTACTCCATCGACGACATCGCGATCAAGGGGATCAACACCACCGCGTCATCGGCGGAGATTTCGCCGGCGATCGACGTTGTTCTCCGAGCCAAAAACCCTAATGACAACATCGGAATCTTCTACGGAAAAGACAGCTCCGTTACCGTTTATTACTCTGACGTTGAGCTCTGTAACGGCGCTATGCCGGCGTTTCACCAGCCGTCGAACAACGTGACGGTGTTTAAGACGGCGTTGACGGGGCCTGGGATTGAGTTAACGGCGAGCATGAAGAAGGCGTTGAGGGATTCAGAGAAGAAAGGGAAGGTGCCGTTGAAACTGAATATGAAAGCTCCCGTCAAGTTCAAGGTTGGGTCCGTTAAGACGTGGACGCTCGCCGTTAAATTCAGGTGTGATGTTACGGTGGATAAGTTAACGGCGGAGGCGAAGATTGTTTCCAAAGACTGTGAATATGGTTGGAAATTCTGGTGGTGAGAATCAGTTTAATATGAGAGTTTTTTTTTTTTTTTTTTTTTTTTTTTTTCCGCGTAAATTAGAACATTGTGATATGGCTTATACATTGATTTGCTTTTATTTTATTTTATTCTTTTTATTTTTTCATGACCATTTTTTTTTTTCCGTAAGAAGTTTTTATGACTGTTATTGTAGAGATTATAAAGATGCAAGAAAAACATGGTCTTATACTCTTATTTATGCACAGAATGGGCAGAATTCATTTGTTCTGCTTCAATTCGTTTTTGGTCCTTCTGTAGTTGAGCCATACAAGAAAACCGTTAATTCGCCCTGCTGCTTATATACCACAGCATCAATCTCAACCCGACTCGACCTGACCCGCTCATAAGTTAATACGGTTGAATTGTGGTTTAACACATTTAGGATCCGTTTAGTTCGCTCATACGAGTTTTTAATTCAAGTTGAGATGTGACTTTATGTGAGCTTTTTACTATAATAAAAAAGTTAGATGTGACTGTTTCTGAGAACTTTTTACTGCAGTAAAACTTAAATTTAAAACTCGTATCGGTGAAATGAACGAGATTTTAAAGGTGACTCGGGTTTCAGTTTACCACATATGGGGACGGATTCTAACCACCAAGAGCGGAGGTATTAATAGACGAGTGGAGGCCGCCCCCATTGTATTTTTCCCCATTGTATTTTTGAAAAATACAATTTAAATTTTAAAAAATTCTTAATCTTTTCGTTTTGTCCCACTAAAATTTAAAATTCTCATATTTGCCCCACTACACTTTACCTTTTTATATTTTATTTCTATAATTCTTTTATAAACAATTGACTCTTTTTATAAATTTTACTAATGATCTAATGCTTCATATGATGGGTTTTTTATACCTTATATTTTTTTGAAAGGAAAATTTCATTACAAATTATAAAATTAAAAATAGTCGCAAATGAGCACCAATTACAGGGGAATTTGACCCCGGATATTGACTAGATCCACCAAGGGTGAACACAAGTACCGAGACCCAACATGAAAAGACCCACTTGGCACAATCAAACTCGAGCACGAACAAAACTCGTTACAAATAACCACTATAGTCGGTGGTTAAAACTAACCGACCGAGATCAAACCCCAAACACTAAGGACATGAGCCACACGACCTAGAAACAATTCTAGCTGTAGACAACCACACACACTCGATGAAGGGGGCCAAGACCCTAGAGCAGAGGTGCCACTAGGCTCTAACGCACAAGATTTACACCTCCGTCACGAATGATCTTAGCCTATCAACTGTCAATCAAACACGTACTGCCTCAACCACTATCTCAAGGGCCGAAAGTACGACGACAGCCAACGGCGTTGCCAGACTCCGGCCCTAAGAAGGAATCCCAAATACAAAATCCTACCCACCCCACAAGAGAGAGAAGAATGAGAGAGATATCTGTAATTACTTATACCTTACATTTTGAGGTTAACAAATTATACATTATATTTTGAATTGTATTACATTTATATTTACACTTTTATTTTTCAAATTCATGTTTGATCTGTATTTTTTTTTGGTTAAATGTTGATTTTGATTAGGAAAAATACAAAAACATATTTCACATTTTGTAATTTTATTTTTAATTTTCATTATTCTTTGTATTTTATTCCAAATATTTAGGTCATTTTTAGTCAAAATTGATCAATAACTCAGAAAAAGTATGAATTAAGCATAAATTCCTTCGGCCCCTAAAAAAAAAAAATTCACGCCCCTACGTTCATAGCCTTTGTAAAGTCTGCCTTGCTTGTAGTAGAAAAGGTTGCTTACGGCGCTGGCTAGAGGAGCCCTTTATTGATGGGCTGACTTTCAATCTAGAGATCATGAATGAGAGGCGTTAGCAGTTTTAATAGGGGATAGCAGTGAGCGACCAAAAAAGGAACGAGAGGCGGAGTATTCTCTATGAAGATCCATCTTCAGGCTGAAGGCTGGCTTCGACCATCATATTTTGTTTAACACATATATAATATTCATAAATATCTGCGTATGATAGGTGTAATACCTTATATAAAGGTATTATTAATTATATAAGAAAACATAAAACAAAAAACTATATTTGTGGCATATCATGGGGTAAACCATTAACAATATACATAGCCATAGACTATAGATGATATATTTTTTAAAACCTCGAGTGTAGATAATATGTTAGACAAGGCTATTAAGTATTAATTGTTAGGTATTTTTTATTTTTTTTATTTTTCTTAACAAGTATGATGAAAGATGAATAGTTTCTGATAATTACATTATATTTAATTGATATTGATGGTTAATTAATTATAAAAAGTTAGACTCTTTACTTTTATTAGTTTTCTACTTAAAAACATAATAAAAAAATTTTGATTAGCATTCTATAAAAGTAATACACATGCATGGAGATAGATCATTTATAAGATTGAATGTCTACATCTATCTCATGCATATAATCTAATGTGTTGCTTGATGATTTTAATGTTTTCTTTTTCTTTTTTCTTCTTTTTTGCAAGTATTATGAACACATGAAAGTATTTAACAACTCATAATTAATATTATTTACTTTAAAAAGATAAGGAAAATTTTTTTGGTTTTTATTAGAAAATCTCAAAAAAAATCCTTCAATATCAACTTTTACACCTTAAGCCCATTGGGCCAAAACAGACACATTAATAGAAGAAAAAATGGAGAATTTATTTTTAAGAGTGTATGAGTATCGAGTTTTACCTTTTATTATTAATAAATATCTTTTTGTTGGTGTAATTATTTGACTAAAAAGGTTATGAATTAAGAGGAAATGGTAAAAATTTTGGCCCATGCATTTTTAAAGGGTATTTGTCCAGATTATTCTTAATAGAAAGGGCAATTTTTTAAAACATCTCCTGAAATGTAGCCTATTTTTATTTCTACTCTTTAACATTAGTCTATATATTTTTACCTTTTAGATGTGCTATTTTGTATGGATACCTTTTTAACTTTGTGAGTTTGGCAATTTGGTCCCTTAACTTCTTTTCTTGACAATTCACCTCTTAAACTTTGAAATGTGTTACATTGTTATTTAAATTAAAAATGAATTAAAAAATTTTAACGATATCTTTCACGTGAGTGTTTAATAAAAAATTTTTGAGTGCCTTAATAAAAATTTAGTGTGTCAATATAATTTTTCCAATTTCAAGTTGAGAAAAAGAGGAAAATAGGTAAAAACTTGAGATAAATTAAAATTAATAGGCCAATAATTTACATAAGTTAATAATAGGCCAAATTACTATTTTCATTCATAACTTGTCTAGTTATGAACCATAACTTAACAAGTTATTGTCTATAATTGTCCATAACTTGTCTGGCTATGAACCATAACTTGACAAGTTTGTCCATAACTTATCTGGTTATGAACCATAACTTGATAAGTTATGGCCTATTAATTTTTATAATTAAAAATTAGCCTATATACTTTCTTAAATTTTTCATATTGGCCTATTTTCTACTATTTTCCTTTCAAGTTACACCTTCATATGTGTGTGGCTGAAACAGGCCTGACAGAACATGTTTCCCTCGCCATAACGCCAAGCCGAGATTTTTAATCCCAACGCCAAGCCCACCAACAAGAACAAGGTTTTTTAATCCCATTGGACCGAAACAGGTCCATTAGGTTAGTTCCTTCAATTTCCTTCACTTTGGATTTTGGAAAAAAAAAAGAAAGAAAAAAACTGTAAAAAATATTATTTATATCACTATAATAAAAAAATAAATAATTGTCATAAAATGAAGTTATTATGCTACTTCATTATTTCCGAGAATAGAAAAAAAATAGAGAATTTATTCTGAATTTTTACTCTTTATTCTTAATAAATATCTTTTTATTAGTGTAATTATTTAATTAAAAAAAGTATGAATTAAAAATAAAAAGTAAAAATTCTGACTCATATACTTTAAAAAAATATATGTCAAAGATTACCTTTTAAAATAATATAAATAACAAGCTTACACAAAACCATGACAAATTGTGTATTTTTCTCTTCAAACATTTTTTTTACACCTTCATGTGCGTAAGGCCGAAACAGGCCCGATTGAACATGATTCCCTCGCCACCGAGTTTTGGCGGTCAATGGCGGTAAGGCAAACTGTATGCATTGTTGTGGCAAATCTGATTGTTCACCTTCGTCCTTATGCGCTTCTTTGTCGGCGATTTCCATTCATTGCTATGCTCATTCTTCATTTCTATTTGCAGGCTTTTTTTTTTTTTTTTTTTTTTTTTCCCTTAACAAGTTAGATTTTCTTTATGTTGGGTGCATTTCTGATTTCATGCCTAAATTTGAATAGAGGAAAACATGTCAACCATTTCAAAGTTTTAACATTAGGGATGCGTTTAGGAAGAACAAGACATTTAATTATGTGTTTACTTATAAAATTAGTAATAAGAGTTTAATAGATTCCATACAATATAGAATGAATGAGTGCTAAATTTCCTTACATACCCTTAAAATTCACATGTTGTAAACGATATTTTAGTAATTATATTGATAGGATTATCATTACTAATTTAATACAAAAGAAGTGCCTTATATATCATTACACCATTTAATTAGGGCTGACAATTCGGGTAGCGATACGACGATATGATTCAAAACTTGCACGAAGTTAGTGGGTTTAAGTTTACTATAAATGGGTTTAGGTCATAATCGGGTTGACATGATTAACATGATTAATAAATGGGTTGGGTTAGGATTGACCTCCTACCAAGAAGTGACAAGATTGACACGATTAACTATATGTGTAACTTGTAATCTAATGATATTTTATATAACATGAAAGTTTATATGACATATTAAATACAAATAATGTGAATTTTAATATTTGTACGTAAAATTCATTTATTTTTCTAAAAGGAAAAGATAAATTGACCAATAAACATGTTAAATATGTCTTGATTGTGTTAAATAAGTCACTATTATATTAGTTATTTATTCAATATATTAATTTAAACGGGTTATACAGGTTCACACAATTAACACAATTAATAAATGGGTCGTGTTTGAGTTGATATTTTTGACACGTTTAATAAACAAGTCGTGTTTGAGTTGATGTTTTCTAACACGATTAATAAACAGGATGATACGAATACGACCCATTAATACAAATTGCTACCTTTACTTCTAATAGACAAGTAAACATTATAAAAAAAAAACATCGATGGACTTCATTTTTATTTTTAACTCTTTCTTTAATATCTCATTATTGCTTCCATTATATTTCTTTATAGTTTGGTAAATGCACTCTAGAACTTCAATGCTGCAAAGATGTGATAAAATCATTTGATCCAACTAAATTTCAATTTGTAACTTGTTAATG